ACTCCAGAGTCTGTTTATCCCATATCTGAATGCAAACACACATATGACATTTTTACAACTGCAAACACCATGAATTTCACAATGTCAAATATAAAGTTCTGTTAACTAGACTAGACTCCTCATTAAAGGAAAAAAAAAAAAAAAAAAGTCTAGCTAGGATGCACCAATATTTAGTCAAGAACTATTTGTATTATTATGGCCAATATCAATTACAATTGTCAAGTTTTATCTTATATCTTTAAATAACAAAATATTAAGTTAAATAATCAAATATTCTATCATCATCACTACTATTTGAAGGTTTTGGGTCCCAAAGATGTTTTAATATTTTTTAAATAAGATCTTTAAATTTACAGTATAAACCGCAGTATTGTGCAATAACTTTTATGTTAGTCTATAAAAAAAAAAATTGAATTTATTCCTGCGATGGCATTTTCAGCAGCCATTATTTCAGTCTTCAGCGTCACATGATCCTGATTTGCTGCTCAAGAAACATTTTTTTATCTTCAATGTTAAAAAGAGCTTAATATTACTTCATATTTTAGATTTTTTTAATTAAAAAAAGTTAATAAATTTAAAATAGAAATCCTTGTAATATAAAAATGTCTTTACTGTCACTTTTGACCAATTGAATGCATGCTTGCTGAAAAGTATTCATTTCTTCCCCCTTACTGATCCCAATAATTAAATATATTTGCCATTTAAATTTTTCACAACTACAGGCGTCATAAATTTAAAGGAGTCATAAACTGCCTTTTTTATTTTGTAGTGTTCTCTGAGGTCCACTTATAATGTTAAAGATTTTTACATAAAAAAACATCATACTTTAGAAGTAATAGGCACTTTTCTATCCTGTTTTGACCACCCTCATCGGAACACTCTGTTTGAATAGATGTGGCAGATTGTAGACTCTGAAATAAACGCCCACTGCTATTATTGGCTAATAGTTATGCATGTTTGACAACCTACATCCTTCACAGACAGACGCTGCTGTGTTTTAGGTTAAAAGCACATAAATACTCAGTACATGTCAAACTATCTGTAATAACAGACAAAGCAATAGTGACCACATAACAAAAACGATATCAGATCCAATATAGTCAGCACACTATCGTCTTTTAGTTTCAGGTTCTCAAAATCCTGTCGAATTGCGCCTTGTTTGATAAATTGAAGTGAACCAAGTTCTTACTGACACAGTCTGGCACTTCATTAAAAATAAAAGTTAATCAAATAAAGTTTATCGTTTGGTTTTTGCATAGACCTGCGTGTTCGTATCTCTCATAAACACTACATGTGTGAATTGGTGGGTGGGGCTAAACAGGCAGTGAAGCAGACGTTGATCATCTTCTGCGGAGGTGGTGTTTAGCCACACCATTAGGTCAAAAATTGGCACATTCCACAAACTCTCATTTTGGCAGACTGGCTTCAATATAAGCCGTTTTTAGACTAACAACAAAGTTGAGTTATGAAACTTGCAGGATGTTTTTAATAGCACAATGTCCTCCTATATGTCAAAAGATCAAGGGAATTTCGGTTTCTCGGTTCATGACCCCTTTAATAACAATAGCCTTTTACTGATATTGTCAACTCTGCCACATCCCTAGAAATACACTTGCTGAAATTCTCTCCCACAACAAGTGCAGTAAGAACATGGGAATGTACCACAGAGTTTAATACTATGAGTAAGGAAATCTAACAAACCCCTACATATAACCAGTACCAATAGTCATTCTTGCCTTAGAAAGTGACTTGAATCATCTCACCGGTTTCAAAACCCTCTCTCTAGTTTCTGTATTATAATACAGAAGGGGAGAGATTTGATTGTGTAAATCAAAAACTCAAGCATGTTTCCATTTAAAAAGCGGTTTAAAGAGAATTCATGTTCCTCCAACTGGTGAAAAGTCACGCATTTGCTAAATGTGATTAAACACATCAGTAGCGTAATTCACGAGAACACGCTTGTGGTTAGCATTTTTAAAATGACACCTGCGTATTGATGCACTCAAGACGCTGTGGTTTTTACTGGTGATGACTTCACTAAACCCACACGAGCTTCACTAGAAATACACCGGCAGAGCACGGTCACACCTTGATGGAGTTATCACGTAGACCGCTGATGATCTTTTCGTCGTCATACTGGAGACAGTAAACACCTTTGCTGTTCTCCGATCTACACTGGATCCTCTGCAGGTTATGTCGGCCACACCTCCAGTTTGCCTCGATGGTCTAGAAACATGAACATCAATGTCATATATGAGCAATTTAATACACATATCGAATTTATTTGATTTGATCAAAAATGATTATGCACAGACATTAACTAAATCAGCGGCCCGTTTTATCACTACATTTGAAAATGTAGCATTAAAATAACTGAAGCCTGCATACTCGGATTACTCAGAGGGCAGCTATGAAGAAGACAAAGAGCTGGGTAACATGAGGCCAACCGCCTACCCCTGAGGTGTAATCACTGGTCCTGCTCGTTCAAATGAACAAACAAACGCTTACTACCTCCCTTTCCTTAAAAAACACTGACATGAGCAGACAAGATCTAACATCGTATTACATTCTTAAAAGGACAAGAGAAAGAAACGATGGATGCTTTGCCCACCTCAATGTCCTGAATGATTTTTGGATAAAGAGAGCGGTAGTATGAGTTTGGAGGAACTTCTGTTGTGCGGTTCTTGAACAGGTATTTTTCCCTGTGAAGAAAACGGCAATAAACATCCCTGATAAACTGACAAACATCTTCATAATTCAAGGCCAAATAAGATGCACAAGACAGTCTAAATGGAGGTTCCCAGCAAGTCTGGTGGAGAATTACACCACTGAGAGATAATGGCGAGGTTGTTGTTAAACCTCATGTATAAATGAGGGGGTTTGGGGGACGTAAACGGTCATATCAGCACTGTGACTCACCACTGGTGTCTCTCTGAAAGGCCCTTCCACAGCGGGTCTGTCCGAACCATCCTCTCGATCAGCTTCTTCCACAACATGCCTTCGGATATCACACGCTGCCATTCTTTACACACCAGCTCAGCCGAACAAAGCGAGCGTGCGTCCAGAAAGGACAAGATGTTCTCCGCTATATGGTCCAGACCCTGAGCTGGAAGACAAATTGAGAGTGATTTCATTTAAGTGAAATAGGACATTAAAATAAAAATAAAAAAACTCAAATGTATGCATCAGGAAGGGACTGGATAGTACACAGTAGACATTAATGAAAAACATGGAGATTGGAGAATGCAAGAGGGGTTTAAAAAAAAAATAAAATAAAAATAAAGGAAAAAAGGTGGTTTGATGATGTCAGCTAAAATGAAAAACTTCATTCTACTATGCTGATCTGGTGCTTGAGAAACATTGCTTTTTTATTATTATCGGTGTTGAAAACCGTTTTTCTGCTTAATATTTTTGTGGCAACTGTGATAAATTTTTCAGGATTCTTTCATATAGAAAGTTAATTTATTTGAAATGGATATTTTTTGTAACATCACAAATGTCTTCAGTGTCACTTCTGATCAATTGAATGCATCCTTGCTGAATAAAATTGATTTCTTTCAAAAAAAGAAAAATCTTACAGGCCACAATTTCAATGGATGTGTATATTTTGTTGAAATACAAACAGGGATTTTATTCTAAGAATAGGGCCCTATGATTTCCACGATGCGGAAAGCGCGGATGGAATCACGGAATCCAGTTACAAAAACAGAACTTAGTTTAACACGGAATATCAAATGTTAACATATTTCATCAACATTTGACAGCATCCTAAAACAAAACAAACCAAAAAAAATGTCCTTAATCCCCTCAATTGTAAGTCACTTTGGATCGAGTCTGCTAAATCAATGTAAATGTATATCACGGAATTTGTCAAAGTTTGGATGAATTAGTAAAAATGAGGTCATTAACCTTCAATCAAATCGCGACATGGACTAGTATCTGTAAATATTACACTGCAAGAAGACTAATTAAATATGAATCCTGCATGTTCGTGTCTCCGTGTGAATGAATGACGCAGACGCGCATTTTGTTTACTACACCTTATGAAGCGCGTGACGCTCGTGGTGATTTCAGCGTCTGCCGTCTCACTAAATGAGGACATAAATAC